AGAAGAAGAAAAAAACTAAATGAAAGTGGCTTACTGCAGAGTGCAATTACTGCACTTGTGTTCATTATGGACTGATTTCTGACAGAAACGTTACACACTGCAAATTCATTCCCTCACTCACTTTAAAATAAATAAAATACTGATCATCTCGATGCCCCTTGTATTGTGGCTCTCCTGCTTTGAAAGGGAAACTGCAAATACATGATTGCAACTACAAAGATATGCACGGGCCAGCTTCACTGATGCTCTGCTCCACAGAGTTAGTTTTTTTAGGACTTCTGCCTCGGCCTAAACCAACACACTCTCAAAATTTGACCAGCTGTTCCTGAGACGTAAAGTTGAAAACTTTCCAGATTTTGTTTTCTCTATTCTGAATATTGACACATTTAACCTGGTTTCCCTTTTAAGTGAAATTTTATAAGACTTGGTACATAAATATTTCAGGTATTGTCAAAATGTTGTGATCTTTGACCACCGAATAATTAACTTGAACACTCAGTTTCAGGCGATCTTCTATACTTTTGGATCTGTATGATGCCAGTGAGAGTGGATATCCCAAATATGATCATCTCAGCCACAAAGAAGCTCCATCCATCTGCTGTTCAAGCCTTATGCTTGTGATAGGCAACCAATCAGAAGAGGTTACATGGAGGCAGAGGAGACCTAAACTCATATGGAACTGTGAACCAAACAAAGCTCCTTTAATAAAGTGCAAAAAAATATGTTGAATTCCCTCTAAACAAGAAATTATAATATAAAGACCAAAATATAATCAATTCAGTGTGGAATACATATGTGTCAGCAAATTTTCTACTGTGTTTTTCTCCACATACTGTCAATGATCCACTGAACAGCCCCCACTGTTGTTCTGAGGCAGCTCAGTCATCCAAGTCTCACATGAATGCCTTTTGGGAAGTCAAAGAGGCCATAAGCTTTACTAACACCTTTGCTTTTACTATGAGATGCAGCTTTAATGTTTTCTTTGTATGTGCACCAATAAGTTCTTTTTGTAGAGAACGACGGCGCAGTGAGGGCACTTCACTGACTTTAAATACATCACACGTGAAGAGAGCAGCTCTGTGGCTTCAGACTGTGCCGCCTCGGCAGGTGGTTTACAGGCGTCTGGAGGGGGAGCCGAGTTTGGCTGACAGGATGGCGGAGTGTCAACAGGTGACACAAGTGTGCAACAATGGTCTGACATTACAGAGTCCTCTCCAGCTGATGTGGGAAGGTTACGCTCCAAAGGAGGCTGCGCTGACCTCTGCTGGGGAGCACAGGGAGTGAAAAAGGATGATGACGATGATGCAGGTGCCCTGATTTCTGCCGAAGGTGGCACTGTATCACATGTGTTTCGACATCCAGTTACGTGTAATGTCATATCCTCTTTGCGCATGATTGTTTTCTCACAGTGCGGGCAGTGGTAATGACCCGTGTCTCGGCAAGGCAGGTTGCATCTGCAAATGTTTGTATCTGCAAGGGACAGCCATACATCACAGTTAGGAATTTAGCTGTCCAGCTGTGATTTTACTCAGTGATGCGATGGCATAAATATTTAAAAATCATGTTTCTTTCAAAGTAACTCTAGCTTTCTTCTAAAGCTGATCTACTGACTCCAAATCAGAGTTGGTAAGAGTAAGTAAAACTGTTGACCTTTAAATGTACGGTAAATGCAACGCTGTTAATCAAAAGAAGCCCACATTTATTTCCTCTTGTCATCAGCTTACCTTGGAAATAAACTGCATTTTTGATGTGGGACTCCAGATGTCTGCACATGGTCCTTGCACGTGTGGTGGTGAATTTGGGACACAGAGGGCAGCCCAGCTGTAAACAATTCCCAGTTTTACTCTTTAACTGGCATCCAGTCTTAATTATGGATGGATGCATCCTTCATCATATTTTTATTTACTTTTTCCTTTATACAAAAATAAAACATATGATGATGATGATGGATGGATGCATCTGGAAAACAGTTTTTTTTACTATCATTATTACTTGTTCTATGTGGTTATTTTATAAATTATGAAAGAATAAACTACACAGCCCACATTAGGAGCCGGTTTCCAGGACAGTGACTAGGTTAAATGCCAACCGTCTCCTTACACGTTGTTAGGCTTGTCAACTGCGAGGGTCACAGTAAGCTCCAAGAGTCACAATCTTAAAAATGAGCTATATGTAAGAATTTATTTTAAAGCTGATTCAAAAAGAAACAATTTTGCTACCAAATGCAGTTTATTATCCAAAATATGTTTTCTGCCTCTCTGACAAATAAAAATCATCATCAGCCACACAACAGACTGAACAATGAACAATAACACACACACACACACACACACACACTGAACCTTCAAATTCACACTAATATAACAAAACCCCGTCAAACCAGTAAATATTTAAAGTGTCTATCAATTCAGATAAAGTATTGAAGAACCTTTTTCTACACCAATCAGCTGTGACCAATAAAGGACGTTCTGGTCTGCGCATGCGTGATTATCTCAAGCGCTGACAGCTAAAAACAAACACTCGCTTTGACAGGTTTAACACTTTAAGACTGTCACACACTAGATTCTTCGGTATATTCAAGTTTAATGTAACGTAACTTTAGAAAATATTCTTACCGCTGTGAGAAAACAAAAACAGATGCAGACGGACCTCCGCGACAGTTACCTCCACAGGTTGCAGGAAATTACGTGACAGACTGCTCATGGGCAACTTTACTTCCTCGTCTTTAGGTTTACTGTGGTTAGACTAAAGGTGCAAGTCGCCCCCTACTGTAGTAGACGTCATTACAGTATATTTTGAATATTAGACCTGGTTTCTATATATTTAATTGAAGCCTTTTGAGCTATCAGCTTCTCTTCCCGGACCTGCCTCACTCTGTTTCCCTGCATTTGTCTTTTTAATATGAACTTCTCGACTTCCTGACCTCTATGTAACATCGTCTTAACTCTGATGAAGAGCAGCTGAATTGATTACATGGCTAGTGCTGCTAAATCCTGCAGGAAGTGTATTAACAGAGGACTACAAAGGGAGAAGTGCTGAGTAATCTGGCCCTGTCATACCTTAAAAGCCTCACAATATCATTTTAGCTAACCTGAGCACTTTGCTCTCAGACTGCAGGCTTGTTGTTGGTTCCTAGAGTTTCTAAAAGTACAATGTTAGAGAAAGGATTCAGGTGTTAGGCCTCTGTCCTATGCAACCAGCTCAGAGACATACACCCTCTCTACTTTTAAGATTAGACTCAAAGCTTTCATTTTTCATGAAGATTCTGGATGATCATTTATGAATCAATCACACTAGAGTAAAAAATGAATGGCTAATTCATTGCAACTAGGAACAATTCGTGGTTGCATTTGGCAACTGATTGCAAATAGTTGCAGCTGGTGGCCCAGAGATTGAATGTGCCACATGCTAAACCACCCTAAACCTTTGGGTGGCCAGTTGTAAAGGTAAGCTGGTGGGAGACAGACAAAGGTTAGCAAATAACTGCTGTCTGACTTATAAATTCAGACCGATTGGTTGCTTTGTTCTAATGTGACTGTGGCATTAGCTGTGCTGCTGTAGGCCCAACCTGCTGGGCGACTTCCCATGATGCACCAATTCTCCTCTTTTCACTCCTAGTGCGTTTATATGGCACAACTGTAACTTTTCTCTGCTCTTGCCTGTAGTTTTGTGTTTTGTCTTATTTGTTGATCCTCCTCCATTCGGTCATGGCATGATTGCCCCTCTTTAAGCTGGTTCAGGGAGTTCTCTTCAATGCACCATCACCAAGTAGTTGGTCATGCAGGAATGCTAATACAATATTAAGCACCTTGAGATGACTGAGATGAACTGGAGGGATGTAGAAATAAATAATTTGATTGAAAATAATCTGAAGTATGTGTACTTGTGTTTTTTGTTTCTAATGCAGCATAATCCAATCATTTCATGTTCTAAAACCATTTTCTTATAACTATTGCTCTAGGAAATGTAGCTAGTAACCTTTCAAAAGTCTTACAATTTAGAGTGGGAATGAACTTGATCCAGCTGGTCCAGTAGATGGCAGCATTACCCAACCAAGATCGTCCACTTCTAAACATGGAAAACCCAAAATAACAAAATTAAGAATTATAATCATTGTTTGTCACATTTCACACTAAAATGCAGTACTGATTCAGTACTTAAAAACAAAACAAAAACAAGCAAATACAAACAGATTCTTTTTATTTTGGTATAAAAGACAGATGCATTTTTATACAGTTCAGTAAGAAAACTCTACAAAATTACTACAAAATCAGTGTAAACATTTTCTGGTTGGTCATTTTCTCAAAGTCTCTAAGCCGAGACAGAAAAGAGTGCAGAGAAGATACTGTAAACACTGAAAATAACACTGATTGAAACTGTACAATAAACACATAAAAGGCAGCGCGCTGAAGAAACGAGTCACACGATTATACTGCTGTCCTGTTTTTGAGAATAACTTTATTTTAGTGCAGTTTATTGCATAGTTTTGTTTGTTTCATCAACATCAACTCCCCTTTGTGACATTTCTGGAACATTTCTATACAGCAGCCCTCTTTTGGGTATCTGCTGCAGTTTCCCCTCTAGTCACAAGCAGAGTGAGTTTGCTCATTGACACTGCAGATACAAGATAATCTGGTTACTCACAAACACACACTATGACCTTAAAGGAGTAAATTATTATCTTCAGATGATGTCTTTCTTGTTGCGAGCTACTTATGATGACTGTTTAGTGTAAGGCTGCAGCTGGGTTAGGTTAGCTTCACACGAGGACTGGAAATAGCTTCATACAGCTTTAAAATGTTTTCCAAGCTTCCTACTTGAGACAGAATATTGTTGTGCACACCATAAAGCATGCTAAAATTCATCCTTTTGACTTCACACACATATGAACGGGATAAAATGAAACAACTTCCACTGCTCTATTAAAAAGCTACTTTCAGCTGCTCTTTTATTCATAAGGAGTCACCACAGCAGGTAGTTTGATTGTCTGAGATATCTTTAATACCAACATTTGTTGATAGGCCTCTGTGTAACTGACTGAGGTGCTACCTGTAGCTACAGGCAAGGACATCATAAACTGCAGCTGTATCAGGATGTGGGCTATGTTTATAAAACTATAAATGTCAGAGGTTCCATACATGAATTTGCTTTGAATAAGTGAAAACCCTTCACAGCACATCTAAATGTTAAGACTCCAGTTTATAGATTTCTATTCAGACATTCAACTGAGCATTTTTGTGGTCGACTCATTTGTTTTACATACATACAAAAAAAAAAAAAAAATTAAGACTGGGAGGAGACACAAACCCAGCCTCTAGTGACTCAAGCCAGTGTACTCCCTCAGTGCCAGAACCAAGCCTGGATGAATGTGGGAGGGACACTGCATCAGCAAAGCCGAGTGTATATCCTCCTGAGAACTACAGGAAAAAAGTATCTTTCAGTTTAACTTTATTGTGATTTCCTGTCTCTTTGGATCAGAGGCCACACAAATACATGAGATATCATTGGAAACATAAATGAATAGACTGATTATCAGGAGGAAATGGTTGGAACCATTTGCTACGCCTCCCCTTGGAAAGAAGGGAGCAGCTGAAAGCATCTTCTGTGGATGTTTTTTAGGTCCATTTTATTGCTTTTGTTAGACCCATGCTAGCTGTTTCCAGTCTTTATCCCGCACTCAGCTAACCAGCTGGTAGCTGTAACTTCATAGTTAATACAACAACAAGAAAGAGATATCGGTCTTCTTATGTAACCCGGATAAACACACAGCAAGAATCTCTCCCAAACGCTGGACTAAGCTTTGAAATGTTTAAACTGCTGAATGTGTTGAATTAAAAAGCTGAATCTGAGCGTTTTATTTACAACTTTATGTCTTTGAGTTATTCTTGAACCTCCACTGTTTTATCTAAATCACTGTGAGGACTGCAAACATTTAAAAAACATATTTACACACAAACAACAAGAAAATATGAAATTAGAACATTTTGTGAATGTGGATGTTTCGTTTTACTGATGTCTTTGTAATCATCTTCTACATTCCACTTTGTGTACCCACACGAGGTTGGGAAGCATTGCATTATGGATTACTTCTTTGATTATCTCCTACAAACCAAGCCACTGCAGAGGCAGAAGTGTCCTCACTAGCTAAGATCAACATTGGAGACAAAGACAAATAAAATGAAGTCTGCAGCTCCTTCTATCCAGAAAACACAAATGTTGTGGTCATTTTTGAATTTAGAAAAAAAAAAAAAGTCATTGCTACTTTGCTACTGAGAATACTGTGCAGAAATCTTGACCAACTCCTAATTTCATTATACTTTACTTCCAAGCAGCCAAACACTCTTGTAATCTTTAAAGTGCTCTTGAGCAATAGCCCTCCAGGCTTTCTGAAAGTCTTTCAACATTTTTCTTTGGACACTGGTTAGAGCTTGTACCTGAGCATTTTCACAGGAATGTTTTTGTTTATTAAGCCACTTTACACTGACCTCTGAGCAGCATCTTTAAAGAATTTTAGGGAACTGAACAAGCAAGGGACAAACGAAGAAGTGGCAGGCTTATAACGCTATTCTAGTAATAGTATTATCATCTGACAGACATGCCCTTGGGGATCCTGTCAGATCTGATACTGTCAGATTTCGGTCCACCATTCAGTACCGTCTGATAATCATCTTAGTGGCAACGCTCCCAAACACACTGAAGATGCAGTAAAAGCTTACCTGAATAGAAAAACACACAACGGAACAGTATCGGTCATGAACTGGGCTCCCTGTTTCAACATTACTGAAACAGTGTGGGATCATGTAGACAGAGCACAGAGCTCAATGCAGCAAACATCCAAAGAAAAGCTTTAAATGTTCTTCAGGAAGTCTGGAGGACATTTCCTAAAGACTACTTAAAGAAATTAAATGAAAGCATCATACCAGATATTGACTTTCAAGCTTTTTAGAAATCTGCAAACACTGTTTCTGCCTTATATCTTTGAACATTTCAACAAATGGCATTGCCTATTTCCCATTTTGCTAGTGAAATATAAAGAAATGTTGGCTGGGTCAAGACTCTTGCACAGTACTGTCTCTCTGTGATTTTCCCTTTTGGCCATTTGTTTGTTTGTCCACAGATCCACAGCTTAACAAGAGTTTTTCAGCCTCTAGTTATTTTTGTACCATTTAAACTCCCACTGGCTTTTTTCTCTTGCCAAAAAAGGAACAATGCTGATAAAATGCTCCTTAGATATATATATATATACACAAGTGAGTGATTGTCAGCTGTCGCATTCATGCTGCATAGAATATTTCTGGGTGTCCATCACGAGTCCAGATAGACGGAGTAAATCTGACTGAGGCAGCGGTCGACACCACCTGCCTGGAAGAGGAAGCTGTCGTCTGGGCAAGGAGGCAAGGAGTAACCGCCCCCCGCCTGACCCTGCAGGTCCTGCAGCAAGTCAAACCCTGACAGAAGGAAAAAAAAACAACAACACAGCAAATGAGTTATTTAAATGTGAAAGGTTTTATTATTACATATGGGAAAGAGTTTAGTTGGAGGTTTTAAAAAAAATGCAAACAGATAGTTGCCTTCATAATTGTTTGAGCAACTATAATCAATGTTTTATAATAAATGGCATCAAATAACAGCATGGAAACCATGAGGCAATATTAAAACCTACTACAGCTCACTGTTTATCTGTCTGCTCAGTAAATGTTTAGTCTCAGTTTGCTCCCACTGTTCTTATAGTGTCACTTTCAGTAGCTGCTTTTAGTAAAAAGTCTCTAAAAACCTTCAATTGACCAAATGGACAACAAGCGGATAAAAAGCTATTAGCCTCAGTAAAGTTTTACTCTTTAGTCAGATAATTATCAGCTATATAGATCTTTTTAAAATTGCATTAGAAAGCTTATTTCAGCTCTGAAATAAAACTACAGGTTACCACAGATATAGTTAGCAACAAGCTACATTTGTGTAGTTGACGTCTCACCTGTAGAGTGGGAGGCGGGCTGGTTGGTGAAGTAACTTGCAGGCTCAAAACCTCCATCGCTGGGTGCCTGAGCCATCTTTCCCTCTCCATACAGGCAGCCTAGGAGAACCACAGAGTAGACGAAGATGAAGCATGGCATTGAACACACGCCTCGCTCACATTACTTGACTTGATGTTGTCTGTACCGTGTTGCTGCGAGAACACTTGCTGTTGGTGGTTGTAGGTTTTCTGGAAGCCCTGCAGCCGGACATCTACTCTGTCTGAGCAGGGACTCGCTGGGATCACGTCAGCGGACACAAACAAGGAAGCTGGTCTGTTCCTGGAAACGCACAACATAAACATTTATCTAGCATCAAATCACAAAAACAGTTGCCTCAAAGCGCTTTATACTGTAAGGTAAAAACTCTACAGTAATGTGGAGAAAACCCCAACAACCAGACAACCAACCACCAGGCCAATTTTGGATTAAGCCCTGCTGCCACAGATGACCACCTTTTCTGCTTGCTCACCTTCCTTATAAATGGCTTCTTCACAGACATCCAACCAGTGAAATCATTCCTGATTATTCTCAAGTAGACAGATAACAGTAGATGGATCAACTGATGGGCCAGATGCCTTTTTCAGGTCGTGCGTCAGGTCTTTGGTAGATTTTTTAAATATTTCTTAAGGACATGACTTTCAGAAACTGCCGTAGATCATTTTTAGGCCCATCACTTTTCCTTTTGTTTTTTAGGCAAAACTGGACCAGTTTGCTTAACCTTCTAGGACCTGGCGTCCACATATGTGGACATCACATTATGGGTTGTCTAGACCACAATACTAAATTTTACTCTGCAAGGGCCTGATATCCACTTACGAGGACATTATACTGCCACCGTTCTACTGAAATTTAAGACGAATGTCCTCATAAGTGGATCTAATTTTTCAAAGAAACAAAAATCAGGTAAAAAAATAAATAAATCTGGTAATTCTTTGTTTTTATATTCATCAGGTTCCAATCAGCCCAAATAGCAAAGAAAATTAAAAAAAAAATGCCATGAAAGAGTTCGGGTCTTAGGAGGTTAAGGACACACTCCACACCACATTGAGATAAGTTTTCAGTTAATAGTTCTTTGAAAATTTTTTTAAAGACCTCCAGAAACTGCAGAACTGTTGCTCAAGAGCACTTTAAATAATTACAAGAAAGTCCAGCTCCTTGGAAGTAAACCATAAAGAAATAAGAGATGACTTAAGATTTCTAAAGTTAGTAACATCAAACTATTCTCCACAAACACGGTTAACTTTAAACTCCAGTACTGATTACTGCGTGTGTTTCAGTGTTAAAATGAATAAACACTGACCACATTCATCATAGTGATGGAGTGCTACGTGTCAACAGGTCCTACTGAAGCCATTTAAAGACCAAATCTAAGTACAAGTTGAAAGTGACAGGTTTGATGGTTTAACTCAAAAATTATTATTTATTTTTTTTAAAGTGGAAATGAAGTTTCCAGAGAATTGATCCTGTATGTGACTGACTCAGCCCGGCCTGTTTCTACACTAATGCTGTTTTTGGCCTGACCTTCACTTCTGCTGAACTGCTGAAAGTTTCTGTCACACTGAGATGTATATCAGCGTTTGTTAAGCACCATAAAATTCAACACAAGTTTTCCAAGCCAATAAATATTATGGTAAAACGATAATGATGTTGTAACTCTCTGATTGATGGAACTTCAATCTTAGTTGTATTAAACTAAATTGTGAAAATTATTTCATAGGGAAGGTTTCAATCAATGTAAGCAACAACACTGACTCTGATACAATGAACCCAGGGCACGAGGTTTTCAGGTAATTAAATCAGATAAACATCAGCTGACCGCTGTATACATCAGAAACATGTAAACACTTCTCTTCTGCAAACAGTGCAGTTTGTATAAGAAAGCGTTTCCACCTCAGGAGGGTAATGTGCTGCAGAGAGCTGTATCCATCTCTTTGCTGCAAGAATGTGCTGACTGTGCACAAACACTCTGACTCAACATGGAAACGAATGAGTCAGTGGAGCCAAGTCGACGAGAAGAAAGAAAGGCAGCTGAATTTCTCTCTAAGGAGATACGCAGCTGAAAAAAAAACAAAAAAAAACCCCCGTACGGTATTCAAGTGCCCCCCTTCCACCTTCAAAGAGCCCACTCTCAGCATTTCATGTGGCCTGAAGGCTTTCCTGGATGATGTACTGCAGCATATTGGTCCCCAGAGAGCCAAACAGCACTGGTTTCTGCTGGAAGACTTTTAGTGGGCTTCATAAACAAGCCAGGCCTTGTCAGAGATACCGATGGCTGCTGGTCTGAACATCGTATATTTTCGCATCTGATCAGCTATAAAAAGAGGAAATGTTTGGAGATTTCTTTACATATCTCTCATTTATCATCCCCAAGTCTCTTTATTACCCATTTCCCATGTCAGATGCTATTACATTTAAGTTAACAGTCTCTGCTTTCATTGGAGAAATACAATAAAAGCCAAAATTAATCAGAAGGACTTTTTGAAACCCAAACTGATATAACTTACAGATGGCTGTGGCTTCCCGAGGTAATAAAATCCAGGTTTTGTATAGTATTATGTAAACAACGTGGCCTTTGATATAGCGTGGCTGTTGAAATGAATGTGCTGCAATGACTGCAAGGCAAAAGAATTCAACACATCTTTGAATTTCCCCTCACTGGCCCCTGAACCATCAGCGCTGACCTTAACTATAAACAACGCCGTCTGCGCCACGGCTTACATTCTTGTAATGTTGCAACAACATAGTTGAGATGTCTGAGCTGTGCTGGGTCGATCTGTCACTTTGTGGCCGGTGTGCCCAACTGCTCACATGCACGAGCTTACCGAGGGCCCAGGGCTGAGGACGCGGCTGTCAGTAAACCTCAGGAAACTTTTTGTCTGATCATATTTTACCAACTGACCCTCTGCAGGACTCACGTTTTTCTTACTAACTACAGCTGCCATCCTTACTGCTTATGCAGAATGAAAGGAATCCAGCTTGCAGAATTTAAGATCTTCTGCACATTGTGCTGCATTTAATTGGTGCCAGCTTATGATCACAAACCTGATGTTTCGAATTTGAATTTTGAAAGTATTTCGGTGATATGGATTTAATGGATCACAGGGGATTATGTTAAATCTGTGCAATACAGATGGAGATTTAATGGGATCTAAGTGCTACCACTAAGTGCTTAGGGAAACTACAGCACAAGCATTTCATTTTAGAGCTACAGCAAGTAAAAAAAGTGAAGGATTTCACTTAAAGCGGCTATTTAGGTCCAATGTCACTTGGAGTTTCTGCAAAATAAACTTCATTACATCGCCTTCCTTCAACGTGTATAATAGTGTTTCTGTGTGAGCGCTATCCTGGTTAGTGTGCCTGTATCTGATGGACACGCTGCTGCAAAAAAATGCAAATCCAGCACCACGCTACCTCTCTCTTCCAACCGCACAATATATACAAACACTGTGCATCACAAATACTAAACTGATGGACAAGCCTCACTGCGGGCCTCTGTAAATTATTAAAAGACGTCAAAATGGCTCATTACAGCCAGAGTAAACATTGGCCTCCCTATGAGGTCAGAGCATGATGCTGCCTGCACCATGAAGAAAAGATAATTTACTTTCACGTGTTTAACGTCTCTCGTCTAAGTCATTTTGTGGAAAATCAAGTGCTTGTCTGGTATTAGCTTTGGCAGGTTGTCATATACTGTGGGCACCAGTGGGATTCAATGACATCCTCCGCTGCTATAAAGAGACGTCAATGGACGGATTGTGCATAGCTTCATGGAAGCTCTACTGTAGCTGCACATTTTAGGAAGGCGGAGAGATTCTGAGAGAGGTGAGCAAAGTTCCTAAAAATGCACAAAAGCATCCAAATGTTTGATTTATTAAAATCTGTATTTGTTTTGTAAACTTTAAAGTGGTTTTAGAAGTGAAATATGTGATGAAATCCAGATCAAATAGTACTTACAAATTCTGTGTTTTCTTGTATATATATTGGTTGACCGACACAATACAATCTCCTCAACCCAAGGCCTGTGGCTGGCACACATACATTTATGATGTAGTTTTATCACTACAAATACAATAACTTCTTGAGTAGTTTTCAAAGAGGAACAACTAACCGTAACGTGTAAGAATATCTGAAAAACAGAAGTGGACTTTTTTCATTTGTAATCATAAGAAAAAAAAAATAAAGATCTTGCAATAAAAAAAAAGCTTCTGCGTTGAGACAAATTTCCATTGATACATATTTCTTACATTTTAAAAATCACTAAGCATTTCCATAAACAATCTCAGATATGTGTCTAATCAATACAATGCACTTTGCTTTAGCAGTCAGGGTCAAATCTGAATCCTTTCAAAAAAGATGACATTGACCAAAAAATAAAAAAATAAAAAACCTTCTTCAGCTTCAATTCTAATCAGTGGATTCGCCATCACTTAAACATGCAGACTACTTTTGCAGTTTGCACAATATCACTAAGGGATAGAAGTGAGGTTGGCTTAAATGTCAATATGTATCCCATAAACCAGGGGTGGAGAACTCCAGGCCTCAAGGGCCGGTGTCCTGCAGGTTTTAGATATATTACCCTGGGTCAACAAACCTGAATCAAATGATTAGTTCATTACCAGGCCTCTGGAAAACTTCAAGACACGCTAAGGAGGTAATTTAGCTATTTAAATCAGCTGTATTGTATCACACTCAGGTATTATCAGTGAAGGAGTTCTAGTTAATTACACTTCTAAGTGGTCTAAGTAAAGTAAGACACACGAGGCTGTCGGCATAAATAAAAGAATAAAAGACAAGTGGCACAAAATCATGGAAGGATATGTTTTTGTCTAGTCCACTTTTCTCGCTGATGAATTGGGCAGCATCTCCTCTGCCTGCCTTTCTGGAAAAGTCACAACTATACATAGTAGACCTTTTGCTACTTTCATTTCAACCCTAAGGGTCAATGATGAACCCTAAAGCTTAAACCTGTTGAAATCAGTGCTCAGAGAAAACAACCAATCTTAACATTTAAGCCAAACACCGAAAGGCCACTTGAAAACAACCCTTGGAAATATTGGAAGAATTTCATATGAAACAATGTGCATTATATGGTAATATTTTATATCATTTATTAAACCACAAAAATGTTATTCTGGCCTTTATTGATGCTATTTTATTAGACAGACTGTTTTTGTTTTTACTATAGTGCCAATAAAAGTTACTTTATGGGCAAACCTTCAATGACCAATAATTTTAGGCCCTATTGTCCAGAAACTGCAGCCCTGGAGGCTTTCAGCTGTATCTTTTTAGTCTCACTTCTACTTTTATACTTGCCTAGAGAAAATTTGTCTCAGCTTACAGTGCACATAAGTTCTGTGGTCTCCAACTACCCAATCAGTGCGACCACAAAGCCATAACTCCATCTCTGGTGATAATGTCTCTGGTTTATTCAAGAATGCACAAGCTCGGATCTCTCTGGCTTTTTCTAGAAATCAGAGATGAGGGAAAGCAAAACAAAATGACTGTGAAATCTTTAGTATCACTTTGAAGCTTCAGTGTTTGATATGGAACACTGCTCAGAAGTGTTAAGCAGCTTAGAAACACTTTAATACATGCCAGATATGTTTAAACAATACGTTTAGGACATATAAAAGCAGAGGTTTTGGGGGCGAATCCTTGAAAAGGATACAGAAAGGAGCATAAAATTGAGGTCTGTTAGTTTTCACTATTTTTATCTATAGTAGAAAATAACTCTGAATAAAAACTGCCACATGAGATCTTATTCAGCTCCACTGTAGTGAGTTGGCAGCAGAAATCCCAGCAGCAGATAACTGAAAACCTTGCCAGACACCACGAGGGGTAAGTAGGAAAATATGTCTTTTCTTTATTTTTGTGATTTGGATGAACTGACTATTTTACGTTTGCCTCTTGTTTTATTGTTAAATGTCAGTAAAGTAATCTCCTTCCCAAGAAATAAAAGCAGCCCAATGTTGAAATACATGACAGTGTAGAAATTAAAAATGATAGATGTTTCTTTGCTTTTTATTATATGAAAGAAAATATTCACAATGGTGCAACAAGATGCAACCTTGGGGAAGATAAACTTCCATCAGATTTAACTACTGCCACTGCTGCCCATAAGCAAGTCACTAAACATCTATTACTCTGCTATAAAAACTAAGTGGACTGTTTCCAGTCCAGCTTCGTTGTATGAATAAATAAATAAATGCTCAGGGGATGCACCGCATTTAACTTGAACTTGCTCTGATCTTACACTCACCCCTCTCTCATGCTCCCCGGGCTTGTTAATGAAGATATTGGGCTATTAGCATCAAAGTTTCCCTCCAGGCCTGGATACCTCGAGTCTGCTGATGGGGGCAGAAACTCTGAATTCCCCCGACTGTGGGCGGTGCTGCTGCTGTTTGAGTACACACCTGAAAGAGAGCCACAGATAACCTCAGTAAATCTGCTCCACCAAACATTTTGAGCATCCACCTCCACATCTGGTCCCACATCTAGTCTGAGGTCTCTGCAGCAAAGGTTGGATGATGTATATAACAGTTACAATAGAGTAGGAGTTAACATTAGAATCATTAGAAACTTCAACTGCAACGTATTTCACTTCAACGCCAAATTACATGTAGCCAAGTTTTCCAAACACCAAAAGTTTAGGAAGTGTTGCAATGCTTTTCATTCTCACATCTTTTGCTGTCAGAGATCGACCGCAAGTAGTTGTGGCAACTAACTGGTTGCCCGGAGGCTGAGTGTGCAATCTCCTCATACACTGGGTAAATACTTTCAATTGCACAGCAATTGCACAAACAATCACAGTCAGACAGAACGACTTTGATTAGTTTTAGACAGACTGGTGAATGTTTTAAGATAACTGGCATTTAGAAATGCAGAAAGATTACCAGGGTGTTGCAATAAATCTGTGTCAGCCTGCAACACCTTTCCTGTCAGTCGAGGCTTAACTCAACTAGTTGCTAACTGGCTGTACTCTGGTTATTTTCATATATTTTCATACTCTTGACAGGCACTCGTAAACATGACCATATTTCCCCAGTCTTGGCTTGTTTACACTGGCTTCCAGGACGTTGTAGAATTGATTTTAAAATTTTATTGCTTGTTTTTAAATCTCTAAATGGATTAGCTCTGTCATACCTCTCTGATTTGTTAACTAAAAATACTCCAAATAGAACTCTCAGGTCAGCTGAGAAGCAGGCTGAAAAACTGAGGAGACTGGGCCTTTGCGATAGCTGCGCCCAAACTTTGGAACAGTCTGCCTCTTGAAATTAGGATCTTTCCAACATTTTTAAAACCCATCTGAAAACACATTTTTACTCTCTACCTTTTAATTGTGTTAAAATTGTGTTTTACTTTGTTCTTTGTGTGGGTTTCTTCTACTTTTTTACTTTTTTACTATGTACAGCACTTTGGTCAACCTGTGTTGTTTTTAAATGACCTTATAAATAAATGGATTGATTGATTGATATATAAATAAAAGTTGCTGAGCATCTGTGCCGTTAAATCTTCCTACTACATCACTATCACATCACTACCTGTAATGATGATTTTCACTGGGTTCAAGCTGTATTGAATTGTATTATAACAAACACCAATAAAATATAAAGAAATGAAAGGCTGACTCTACTCAGTGTTGCACTTTATTTTTCAGCACAGCCTGAATTCTCTCAAGCTGTCTTGCAATTTCTTTAAGTAGTCTTCAGAAACGGCTCTCCAGGCTTCTGGAAGGACATTCAAAGATCTTTGGATGTTGGCTGCCTCTTGTTCCTTTCTCTGTCAAGATAATGCAACACTGCTTCAACAATGCTGATGTTTGGGCTCTGAGGAAGTCAGTCCATGACTGATAGTGCTCCACTGTTGGCTCTTCTATCCAGGTATGCTTCTACTGTCCGCAATAATTTTCATGGTGAAAAATTGAACTAATATCAGTCAGATGCTTTGCAGATGGTATAACGTGGTGGATTAAAATCTGACTGTACTCTTCTGCAATCATTCAATTTTGACAAGCGCCCCAACACCGCTGGCTGAGAAGCAGCCCCAGACCATGACAGAGCCTCCTCCATGTTTTACAGATGGCTGTAGGGATGTTTGTACCGCTCTACTGACCTCCTCCATAAATACTGAAAGGCCAATAAAACTCTAATTCGTATTCATTTCCCAATAACAGCTGTTGCCAGTGATCTTCAGTCCAGTTACTGAGTAATTTGGCATACCTCAGCCTCTCTTCACATTTCTGATGAGGCTTCAGTGAACAGTAGATGGATCACCTGAGGGGTTAGATTTTCCTCTCAAGTCCTGTGTTAGGTATTTCCTAACATTTGGTGGGTGTGTTTGTTAAGTTTGGGAAGAAATTATGTTTTTGCAACAGATTGTTGGTACCAAGGTGCCTGCAGACATAATTTAAAATGGGTTCTTTGCAAAGTTGTCTGTGTAGACACAACACTGATTCAATTAGGTCCCTTTTACAAGGATTGGACTAAAAATGAGTAACAAAAAAAAGCAGCCAATGTTCAAAGAAAAGCTTTGAAAGACCTTTAGAAAGCCTAGAGAATTATTGCTCAAGACCACTTTAAAAAATGGCAAGAAAGTCTGGCTCCTTGTAGGCAAACAAAACTGTCGAAAATATTAAAATACTCAATTTATAGTTAAATGAAACTCTTCCAAATTATCGTGCAGTAGTGACATTTCCCTCCACTGATGAGCAACTCAATGTGCTATAGAAAAACAATTTCTGGTGTAAATACAAGTATATTACACACAGTGTGCACATATGGACAGATGAGGATTAGACTATGTTGCAAGCAGACTTTGAGGAGTTTCCATGGTCAGCGTAATCCATTTTTCTGTAAACCTTTCAGAGCCACATTTCAAGCCTACAGGGGCTGAATGCTCAATATCAAAAATATAGTTTCATGCTGTTCATTTAAATCTGTAACTTGTACCTGCATGCAATCAGTAAGCTGTCAGCACTAGGTTTTAAGCCAAGCTGACAATGATAGTGTGTGTCACCATAAATCCACCTAGTATACCACAACAGAAAGCAGTTTTCAGGCTATAACATTTGGCCATTTGAGATAAGAAAAAGTCCTCCTGGGATTTTTTCAAAATTAAACACTGACATGCTTGTTTCACCCTGACTAAACATAGCTCATAGCGTGCCGCTTGAGGCTTTTCCCTCAAAGTCTTCTGAGTAAAACGGCGAGTAGTCTGAAGTAATAGACATGGACAGCTTTCCTGGACGCTCTCCACTGTCTTTGGCCAACTGAGCCTCAGTGTACCTGACAGCTTCTTGATTCTGGTTCAGCCATTGAAATGGAAAGAAAAAGAGCTTGGCTGGAAAACCCGTTTGGAGAAGCTGAAGGACAAGTGGGGTGAAGGCCAACTTGCCCACAGTCATGGTGCCCAGTAATTGGACAAGGTAAACACTGGCATGATGAGCTATCATCGAAGGAATGAGAGAGGAGGGAAAGGAAAAGGAGCAAATGAGGCCATGGGAGAAAATGAAAGAGACAGCTTAACAGCCCAGGTGTTTTGGGCAATTACTCTTTTCTTTTGGGTTTTGCTCATTTCCAGAGAGGCGCTGGAGGCTAAGCACAGACTTCTGCTACCGTTTCATCTGCACATACCTGTGAAGTCATCTAAAGCCGGTAAAGGTGAGCTGTTTTTTTGGTGCGACGAGGCAGAGCTGTGGAGATGCTGGCGTGCCAGGCAGTCACTTAAGATGTCAGATTCCAGCATCGTGTGCACCTGAACCTGACAACAACACAAAACGCATTACAGCCATATAGATACATGTCATATAACAGCACTGTGTTATCATGCTGGTGACCAAGTGTGGGTGTTTGCCAGCATGCAGGGATGAGAATAATTACGTTAAAGCTGCAGCTTAGTTGTCTTCCAACTATATGCTGTTGGGCAACGCAGCTCCCATGCAAGTTTAAACTAAATGACTTCTCTTTTGATTTCATTCAGTAAAGCAACTGAAAACACAGTGAGCGAGCTGCAGGAGGTTTTCTACTGTTCATTTATCAAAGAAATGAGTTTGCACCAGATGCCTGGTTCTTGTTTCATCTTGCGATCCAGCTTCTTGAGGTACAAAATCCAGAAATCTTATTAGGCAATCGTATTCCAAAAACGTTCTAGCAAAGTTAAGGCTAAACAATTGGCTTTATTTTCCAGCGCTAAACAGAACATCCCCCCGGAACTTTCCAAAACAATTTATTGACAGCTTCGGGATTCAGAAGAAGCTCGCGGCAGACACCCAGGAACCACAAAAGCGGCGTGAATAATCAGCAAGAAATGCTCACCCAAAGTAGCGTTCACGAAGCCAGAAACTTCAATCGCTGTGACACATCAGCTCGAATAAATGTATGCCCGTGAGGAGCTTAAGAAGCTCATCTTTAATATTTCAAAGTTCCAATTAGCCCCACAGGGTTTACTGCAGCACAGGGCGTGTCGACTGTGTCACAACTTACCAACACACGTGGTTCTGTTTAAACCAAACAAGGCATGCGAATACACACACAAAGCCCCAGTGTCACTCACAGGCCATAGAAAACAAACAAGGCCCAGATAAAGCAGAACAATAGGCTCCCTATTCGGACTTCCAGGGAGTGTGTGTAATACTTTGTTTTGTTGTATTTCATCCTACTGAATCATAAACATACCCACTCTCTCCTGCTGCTGCTGTAGTTCTCCAGAAATAAGACCTGCAACCCCCGAGAAGCCCCCTTTCTCTTTGAAAGTTATATAAAGAAGCAGTTCTCTACTATCTATATTTAAGAAAAAAAATTCTGGAAGAACAACATTGTTTTGAACTTTAAGGTTAAACGGGAACAAACATGCATCTCATTTGCTTTTAAACATGAGGTAACAATCAGGAAATAAAATCAAGATGTAGCACCAGAAAAAACCCTGTTTTACTTTCTCTTCCTGAGCTTGTTCATTTTTAGCTACAGATTTTCTATTCAGGGTCTCATGAATGACGGTGTGTGTCTTTATGGAATTTAAAACATAACCTTTTTTGGGGGGCAATTTTTATGTTTTAATAATTATTGAAAAAAGCTGTCTATTTTTAACTGAAATGCCAGATTTGGGGAATGGCACACTCACTGATATTTTTAGGAAAGCAAAGCTTTTATTTGTGTGTCACTTTTACAGAAAGAAAATCCTTGTTCAGAAATTGCATGCTTTTACGGTCACTCATTTCTTCCAAATTGGATCAATTTTAAATGAATTCAAGGTCATTTAAATGATTTGGCACCTGCAGGCAGGACATCTGCCTCCAGATGTTAGGCTTGACCATAAATGCTTCAGTTTGGCTTTTGATTAATATGTCTTTCATTCTTTATTTTATGTAAATGTGTATGCTTATAATGGTGAGTGTTGTTCCGTAACCACTGCTGATTAAGCAGCTGTCTATGTTGGCCAGGACTCTGTTGCGAAAGACATTTTAAACCTCAAGGGTCTTGTCACCAGGTTAAAATGAGGTTAAATACAAACATGCAGTCATGTGAATAATAAGGTTTCAAAATCTAAGTTCACCCTATGATCTAGCAGCAATAACCTGAAATAATTGTTTTCTGTATGACTTTATTAATATGTGGAGGAAATTTGGCCCACTCGTCTTTTCAACGTTGCTTCAGTCCATTGAGGTTTGCAGGAATTTGTTTATGTACAGCTCTCTTAAGGTCCCACCACAACATTTCAATCAGCCTGAGGTCCATTGCAACACCTTTTTAACCATTCTGTTGTAGAGTTTTTGCTGTTTTTGGACTCATTGTCCTGTTGCATGACCCAGTATAAGCAAGATATAAATGTAGGACAGATGGCCTTATATTGAATCTAAATATCGGTATACAGAGGTGTTCATGTTTGACTCAGTGGCTGCAAGGTACCCGGGTCCTGTGGCTGCAAAAGAAACCCAAATGATCACCGCTTCATCAATGTGGTTGATAGCGGCTATGTTGTGTTTGTACTGATATGCTTGTTTTTTACCAAATGTGGGACAGCTGCCGACATTGTTTTTAGTTTGTAGAGCCTCTTTGTCATTTGTCATAATAACCTTCAAGTTTTGTGCTGAAATAAAATCAAAAACATGCATGGCTGCTCCTAATAACTTCATCAAATAATGAGTGGAGCCTTCATAGCAGTTTGTATTGTTTTCATTATTATGAGAAGAAACACAACTTAACATGTATTCCAAACAAGAGAAGACAAATATCCATCATAAATACAAACTCCAGATGTGCTGTGTATAATTGCAGACAGTCAAGTATAATAAATTGGGAAGGAAAAAAAAAAATCTATCAAGTAATATAACTTAAAACATTTCATGTTTTATGATGTTAAGCTGTTGAGAAATAATCAATTGATTCCAGTAAATTTCAGCCCTGTGAAGGTGGCTCAGGAATACAAGGCACTGATGTGATCCTGGTTTAAATTATGTACTTTTGATCCCATCCAATAAAAGCTTAAATATTACCCCACTATTGGACAACCTGATAGGTGAGTGGTTAGGGTGCACACTGCATGTTTTACTCCTGGCTAGACGGACCTTTATTGAATGTCTTTTCCACTATCCACCCAAACCATCCATTAAGGGCAAAAAAAATGCAGCTCAAATTTAAAAAAACGTCCCCAGGTTGCTTTTAAAAATGCTTTGGCCATAATTTTTTATTTCTAACCACACTTTCTGAATCCTCCCTTTGCTTCTGAACGACACACAGTCAAGTTTTAAAAACATAGAAAGGTTTTAATGTTCATTACCTTGACCTCCTTTTCCTGAAGGCCTTTGGCTGAATGAGCTTTGACGTGCTTTCGTAATGAGCTGGGGTCAGTGTAGCGCTTGGTGCATCCCGGTATCTGACAGGCGTATGGTTTCTGTGAATGAACCACAAGAAGGAGAGGTGAGAGAAGTTTGACTGAACATTTAGAAGCACCTTGGTTTAACTTTCTGTTATAAAAAGAAAACAGGTGTGCTGCTATTAAAAAGAGCACAAATTATTTTTTGGTGTTTTGGGGAACACTTTCTCCTGCAACTCTTCTTCTAGCGGATTGCAAAAATTTAGCAATGTTGATTTCAGTACTGAGCTAAGGAGAACAAACCTTTTTTTGTACAGAAAACACAACAAAAATAGCACAACATGCCAAATTAAACCCAGAGCTTGAGAGTTATTATTAGATTTACTGTAAGGTGCAGACTACACCATCTCTTATATATCCTACATTATGTATTGAGAAGGTTACGAATTTTCTACACCAGAACTGAATAATATTCACAACACGATGATGATTTTATAGTCTCATCAGATACAACGATGTCAAACATAAAATGTGTGTACAAATAATGGCACAAGTTCAGATGACTCACATCCACACTGAAGGCATAAACATTTAGGATAAAGATCGTAAATGTGGCTACTTCTTGTGACAACTGGACTAACAGAGGAAGAAAGAAGATGTAGTTCTGTCAACATTTTACATAAAGTGCTCCTCAGCTGAAAGGGAGGATATTTACCTTTCATCTGCAGGCTTAAAAGAGGGGAAGAGAGAAGAGAGTTTAGCCATAAATCATTTCATTCATGAGCTACCTGCAGTCTTTGTATTCATATAAAAGTATTTATTTCTGCACATTATTTCCTGAAGGAATAAACATTTCATAGCAGGCTAAAGCAGCTGGAAGACAAAGTATTTTCTGGTGTAATGATATAAAATACTACAGTTAACTGAGTCCTCCTGAAATAAGTAAAATGAGTAACATCGTGGAATGTGTGTTGAAATGTTTTTTACTGTACAAATAGCTCATTTCTTATATGCAGACAGGTTTTCATCATTTTACTTCGAAGTAGAAAGTTGAGTAAGATGACTGTATTTCACAATTTAGTGAATAAATGAGCTCATTGCCATGAATCTCAGATCTCTTTTTTATTCGCTCTTTTTCATTGCCAAGTATTTAACAGGTGGATTCAATTATACATTCATGAAAACACATGTACAGTGTTTATTTGAGCCTTTTGGGTTTATGTGCTGGGATGTGAGCACTACAAGTCAAAAAAATAATGAGCGTCAGGTTTGATGATCGTATTTTTCAGGACATTTTAGCAGAAAATGTGACGAGAGCTGTGATGTAGTTAACACTGCCCAGTTTCTCATCTTTGTACGTGGGATTACAAAAAAAGTTTGAGATTACAGCAGAGATCACAGCTGTGTGCTAGATGAAAGAGACTATGACGAAGAGTGATTTGTTAAATGAAATCAGATAAACTTGCTGCTGTTACATTAGTAGCGAAATCTGACTAAAACTGATCATTTTGTGTTGTATTATAAACCAGGAGGTGTTGCACAAGTCAGAGCTAAAACAACACATTGTTGATGTTGTAAATAAATAGTTAACTTCACCAGGGCAAGGGTTTTAGAGGTGCATGAAGCTGAACATTGTGAGGCTACCACACAGGTCAGCCTGGACTAAAAAGGGTTTAGGACCTGCTGCACATCCATGATGAGAATCTGGCATTCCAACATATCCAAGAAGTTCTCAGTTGGGGGCATTTGAATACAGTGAATCTGTAAAAAGCTCTGATCTGAGCTTTATGAAGAAGCCAACAGAAGATAGGTACACTGTGGTATTAAAGGGATAGACATAGTCAGCAACAATACTCAGGTAGTGTAGTGTGGTGTTTAAACTACACCAAGGGTGCCAAAAAAAGGAAAAAAAGATAAAGAAATTGCCAAGAAAATACCCCTGTACCACCACCAGCCTAGACTGTTGACACGTAGCAGGGTGGATCTATGCTTTCGTGTTGTTTTTATGTTTAAATTCTGATCTTAAAAGAACCAGACAAGGCAATATTGTTTCTCCAATCTCCTCTGGAGGAAATGCAGAGTAAAGCTGAGCTTAGTGAGGTAGGAAAAACAAATCACCATGGGCAACAGTGAGGTGTTTTGGGCATGACTTTTTATCTGCTTCTTAGCGTGGAGCATCCCAGACAACATTTGAAAACCCCTGCTTTTCAAAATGACTTCTTTCTCTGTAATTAGTCATTTGCCTGAAGATCTAATATGGAAACACTGCAAAGAAATATCATTTCTTTTTTCTTTCTAATATGGCAGCTTTCAGCATATTTGTCACACTTATCTTTGTAAAATATAAAAATTTAACTCAGCTTTTAAATGATAATTTCATTTATTAAGGGAGAGAACTATCCAAACTTAACTTGCCCTGTGAGAAAAAGTAATTTCCCCCTTAAATTGATGAATTAATTAAAAAAAAAAATAGGACCCATCTAATAAAGGGAAGTAGGCTAAAAGATCTCAATAACAACAAATAATGCTACAATCTAAAGAAACAGATGAGAAACTCCTCTGTCATTGACATCTGTCTGTCTGGAAATGAAGACAGATGTATGAAGTCATTTCTAAGGCTTTGGGACTCCAGCGAACCGCAGTGAGAGTCATTATATACAAACGGAGAAAACTCGGAACAGTGGTGATCATTCCCAGGAATGACTGACCCACCAAAATTACTGCAAGAGCAAATTGACGACTCATCCAGGAGGTCACAGAAGAACCCAGAACATTCTAAAGAACTCACTTGCCTCAGTTAAGGTCAGTTTTTGTGATTCAACAATTAAAAAAAGAGACAAACGAAGAAACATCTTGATAATCCTCAAGACTTTTGTGTCTCGACACTGTTGGACTAATGAGTGAAAAGTAGATTGTTTGGAATGTCTGACTCCTGTTACATCTCATGTTAAACTAACACTTTTCATATAAAGAACATCATACCAGCAGTGGCAGTAGTGTGATGGTCTGGATCCAGACAACCATAGTTGAGGAAACCATGAATTTTGCTCTTTACCAGAAAATCCTGAAGCTAAATGTTTAGCTATCAATTCAAGCCCTGAAGCTCAGGCTCAGTTTGGTTATGCAGCAGGACAGTGATCCAAAAAACGTCAGCAAGTCCACCTCTGAATGGCTGAAATGCAAAAAAAAAAAAAAGAGCCTTTGAAGCTTGGCCTTAGTCAAAGTGTGGATTTAAATGAAATTGAGTTGCTTTGGCATGACCATAAACGGTCTGTCCATGCTTGAAAACCCTCGAATGTGGCTGAATTAAAACAATTCTGCAAAGAAGCCAAAATTCCTCCACAGTGATGTTATTATCACAAAAACTTGAAAATTTGATTGCTGTTTGTGTTGCCAAGGCTGGCACAACTAGTTATTAGGTTTAGGAGTCAGCTGCTTTTTCACAAAGGTTCAGGTAGGATTGGATAAGCTTTTTTCCTTTATCATATAAAAAAGAAAAAACAGCATTTTTGCATTTTACCTGGGTTATCTTTGGCTAATGTTAAAAACTGTTTGATGATCTTGGGTTTGACAGTAATGCAAAAAACAAAGTAGTATTGAAAAATCACTTGTATTTTTTAATGATGCCACAAAACAATGAATGAAGCAAATAAGTAAAAATGTTACTGTAAAAAGAATTTAGTAGAAATATATCAGGACAGGCTTGACTATAATAATGCTTGTGTCAGTGGGATTGTTATTTTTCTAATGTCTGCTCGATTTTTCTTCTCCAGTATTCCCAATTTTTGTGTAATTCTTAAACAAATACATTTCAAATTATAGACATGCAATACCAACGTAGATCTGGCATCAGAGTAAGTGCTGCTCTACAGTGTCTGTAAAAAAAAAGAAAAAAAAAGGGGGGCAATTTCAAAACTATTTCAGGAAAAATATTCCCTGTGAGACCAGCTCAGTTCTCTCTTAGTCTAAACAGATCAGCACCAAATGAAGTGCTGTCTTTCTAATCTTAGCATAAATTCAGGGTAATGACATGCAAAGTGGTTATGGCAAATGACAGCTCTGAGACAGACTGTAAATTCATAAACTGCATATCAGTTTCCAATTATGTGTGCCAAAAAAATTTTGAAATCTTTTTTTCCTGTTGCCAGGGCTCAACCCAAAAAAACCCAAAACAAAACCCTGGCATTATTCAGCACCACATTTCATATCGGATTTGTCACAGTCCATCACCTTTTTGCACTTCACTGCCATCGTAAAATGAAAGCTCTCAATGCTTTTAATACATTTCCAAATTCTCAAAACAAACCACATTTTTATGTTATGTGAGCGTTAACTTAGAAAGGTAATTCCTGCTTGAGCCTGCACTTACTTTAGGACAAAATTCCCCAAAGTGTCATATTAGTAACACAATACAAGCTGTTTAATCAAACTTGAAAAACATTTCTTGGCCTGCCGTTGCACTACTCAGCAGTTATTTACATTCAGACAGGCTTCCACTGGGCCTCCAGGATGGCGCCAGATGTGTCTGATTGTTAATTTGTGACGCAACTTCGAAGCCCCCATTAGCCAGTGTGAAACCACTAAAGGGAGAAAATAACTTGCTGTAATAACAGTGGAGCGAATCGTGAAGCTCCATCTCATCCGTGTAATAAGAGATCTGATTCGCGGGATTACAGCTAAATTCTCATCACTTGTCAGCAGGAGTAGAAATAACTGTGGTCTGTAGGGTAAATCCACAGCAGGTATGCAGTTTCACAATCCCAAAAATGTCAGACTGTAAAGCAGAGACCACCTCACACCTTATATTACTGAGCAAATATTATTTATCTTAATATTCAGAGCAATTATGTGTAGTCTTGTGTTTTTAAAGTGTATGGTCTCATGCATTGCAGCAATTTTTAAACATAATTTATTGTGTATTTTGTATAAATGTTTCAAGTAAATTCACCCAGACAGACATGAGCAGTGATACTATAGATTCACTCGCCACTTTTTTAGATACACCTGTTTATTTGCTCATTAATGCATTAATCTAATCAGCCAATCACATGGCAGCAACTAGGCTTACTGAGGCATGTAGACATGGCCAAGACAACCTGCTGAAGCTCAAACTGAGCATCAAAATGAGGGAGAAAGGTCATTTAAACATCTTTGAACACGGCATCGTTTTGGTTCCAGACAGGGTGGTCTGAGTTTTTTGGAAACTGCTGATCTACTGGGAATTTTTCCACGCAGTCATCTGTAGGGTTTACAGAGAGACAAAATTAAAAATACCTGCTTGATGTCAGTGGTCAGAGGAGAATAGCCGGATTCTTTAACCTGACAACAACTCAAATAACCTGAATGAATAGCACGTTGAACCTTGAATCAGATGGGATACAGCAGCAGAAAACCACAATGAATGCCACAATAGAACAATAGAAGACTGGATTTCTGCTCTAATGTTTGGATGGTAGGGTCAGAATTTGGTATCAACAACATGAAAGCACGGATCTATCCTCCCTTGTTTCAGCGGTTCAGACTGCTGGTGGTGTAATGGTGTAGGGGATATTTTCCCTTAGTACCAGCTGAAGATCATTTAAACATCACGAGGTACCTGAGCACTGCTGTAGTGTACCCATCTTCTGATGGCTGCTTCCAGCAGATTCGTAAAGCTCAAATGTTCTCCAACTGATTTCCGAACATAAAAATGAGTTTACTATGCTCAAATGACATTTACAGTCATCAGTTTCACTCCCATAGAGCACATTTCGGATGTGGTGGAATGGCAGTTTGGCATCATGGATGTGCAGCCAACAAATGTGCAGCAACTGTGCAGCATAGTGTTGAATCCAAGCAATGAAGAGATAAGTCAGTTCTGAAAACAAAAGTGGATTTAACCTCCTAAGACCCGAACTCTTCCACGGCATGCATTTTTAATTTCTCTTTGATATTTGGGCTGATTGGGGCCCGATGAATGTAAAAACAAAGAATTACTAGATTTTTTTTACCTTCTTTTTGTTTTTAAGAAAAATAAGAGCCACATATGAGGATATTCGTTTAAAATTTTGATAGAACAGTAGCAGCAAAATTGAGTATTTTGGTCTAAATAACCCAAAATGTGATGTCCACATATGTGGACGCCAGGTCCTAAGAGGTTAACCCCATACTACGAAAGTGTATCTAACCCAGAGGCTCAAAAGGAAAAGTCAATTTCACTCAGTTATTTTTAGGTAAATACCATCTGCCAAGAAGGTGATGTAACTGACTGCTTTGTTTTGTTTTGTTATTTGTTACCAGGTTTGCTCAAAAAAGTTATACTGTGCATCAAAGGCTTGGAGGTGGACAGAGATTTCCAAATATTAAATTATTTTGAATAACCTTAGACACTAAAATGTTGTTTAAACATAAAAGTTATGACAGGTTCATCTACAAGATTCATCCAAACTGTAGCAAAGCACTCTTACTTTATATTTAAAGTTATTCTAAAACTTAATTTTTTAGAATTCAGTACTTTTTTCTACAATATTTTAAATGAGATTAAAAAAAAATAAAGCGCTTTCTGAAAAGACCTCATCATATTATTAAATCCTATTTATTTAAAAAACAGTTCTTCAACAATCTAATAATACAAGTAAATGTCCTCCAATAACATTTTACCCAAGGGACGGAAGTTTTATCAGAAATATCTTGTGAAAGTCTTGATCCAGCTGATTTTTACATCATTATTATAAAATCACTTCATAACATTTTCCATGTTTTGCCAACAAACACTTTGGTCCAAAAAATGTAACTAATCATTTCAGCCGATAAAAATAAGTGTAATGGTTTAATAACTAATGTTTTTTCCCTAAAATATAGTCAAGCAAAGTTATTATGTAATATTAAAAAATATATATATATTAAAGTAGATAAATACCATACTAATGCAGCATTTAAATACATCCCCTGGGCATGAGAACACCTTCATGGAAAGAGTGACAATGCTGGCACGACACTTGACACCTGGTACACAAGAGTGGATTACGAGAAAAGGCCTGTTTCTGTTCTTTCTCAGGCTCCATCAGCTGTGGATTTCATAACTTATTTTGCAGTTGTAACCTTAATTTATGATCATCAAGAGCACGGGGGACACTCACTCCCACTAGTTTGAGTCCCCTGATGAATTTAATGTCGTTACTGTAGATGGTGTGTATGAAAATTCCTGGAAATTCACGCTGTCTTCACGGTTGAATGGATTCTATTTTTTCCCTGTTTTGTATAAACTGATCTGAGACAAGCAGACTCTGCACAGCAAGTTAAAATTGGCTCACACGCACTAGCAGTTTATCTTCCCGAGTCATTCCCAGAAGGTCCCATAGAAAGCTGAGGGAGAGGCAGTCTGCTGCACTTTAACCCTCTGAGGTCTCAGCCACTGTTTTCAACTGTCTGCTGCCTCTGTTAACATAGCACTACATCTACAACAAAGCACATATAAAATCCTGAATAAATGCAGTACTGTAAAATAATTAACGCGTTTTAAGCACACCTGTGTTGGTATGAAAGTTTAAAAAGTCAATTTAATGTTTATTCATTTTTCAGCACACGTCTAAAAAAGACCAAATTGTGCTATATAAATAAACTTGCCTTGCCTAAAGTTCTCATGTGGCAAACAGAATTATAATATTGTGGTCGGCGATTAGGTGGAACCTTTTTCTCCTTAACCCTAACCTGTACACCGTACCTTTGTATTTAAAACAACCGCTGAAGTTTGGTGGGGGTACTGTCATCACAAAAGTCACAAAAACACAGTCTGTTTTTCAGGATTACTTTGAAACAAATGTACCTCTAAAGAAAGTTTATGTCACTTATGTTGTCCAGACAAATCAGGTACATGTCGCCGTGCCAACCCAAGTAACAGAGCTCTAACATAAGTGGCAACATTGTAGCCCAAACCATGATTTTGTATTATTTTTTTATAAACTTAACCCAGAGGTTTTAAATATCTAAACCCAATCAGGTAATTTATTTTTAACTAACAACATAGTTAAAAATACTAAAAAAGGAAACATGTATGACTCAAACTTGCATCTCCGGCTGTAATGACTACCTCCACTACGACTCACTACAAAATAAAAATCATGTCCAGAAACACAGTGCACTAGATTAGAGCTGATTAGAGCTGAATTCATTTTCCTACGCCACATTAGCAAGAAGCTTGTTTACCTGAATTTCCCCAATGAGGGACAATAAAGGATATTTCTATTGTACTTCTAGAGATTGTGACCATTTCCCAAGCTGTGTTAAACTTATTAAACTGCATTAGTTTAGAAATACTATGTTGACAAAAAAAAAGTGTAGAAATCTACAGTTTTGCTGTGTGTGCTCTCATTAAAGAGTAATAAAGTTGTTGCTGTGGTATTGGGATCCTACATTGTTTGAATTATCAGCCTTAGTGCATTTACACAATATGCAATTAGGGCAAAGGCAAAATACAGCAACAGAATGGGCATTAATGCCAGTGAGTGTCTTTAATTACAAGAGTTAATATAGCATACAAACATGTCAAGAAAAGCTCGTTTTTTTGTCTCCATTTTAAAAATGGCGCTATTTCCAACATACAGCAGTTCAACCAGGCTGAAAGAGGTTACATGCATGTATGATGAGTTCACTGTCTCTGACCCAAGCCAGAATAATTCTTCATGTTATCTTCAGATTCTTTCTGTACTTGCATATAGCGTGTTTACATGACCTTGACCTCTTTGTGACCTACTGTTATGGTGACGTTTGCTTGGAGAAGCAAAAAGCAACCAGCTATTGAGTCCACTCTAATACTACAAACTGACAGAAAGCTCAAATTAGGAGAACGTGCACTATAATAGAGCACATCCTAAATGGAAGGAGCCCACTGACCGTGTCCAGATGTGTGCGCTGGTGTTTAGCACGATCACTGGAGTTGCTGAAAGCCTTGAGGCAGCCGGGGTGCTGGCAAATGTAAGGTTTCTCCCCCGTGTGGCTCCTCAGGTGGATCTTCAGGTTCTCCAGACGGGAGAACGCCTTGGAGCAGCCCTCAAACTAACAAATAGAAAAGCAGAAGATTTTATATAGAAAAATTATTTAAGAAAATGTGCCTAGATTATCTTTAAAAATTAGTAAAAGTGGAACTTTGCCCATCAGCGTACACTCAACAATGACAAAATGAAACCATGTGTTTAGACATTTTTGCAAATCCATTGCATTTAATACCATCAGTTAGTGGGGAACCATACACAGTGAATATGTGCCATCCTATGTTTTCCAAATATTAAAAAGAATGTTCGTAACAGGACAACGCATTAACCCATTCCACTCCTGAGGCGCCTGTATTAGAAGGAGACCGTGTGATATTTAAACAGAACCTGTTGCTTTTTATAAAGACTAGTAAGCAAGTCTACATTCACTCAACAAGTTGCTTAGTGAAACCATGACTAAGAAGATCCAGCAGGTAACAGGTAATGGAGTAAAAATATTTAAAATTGGTTCAGCAGTATCAGTGTTTACTAATATATTGTCATTAGTCTGCTTCTTTCATAATTAAAGATTAAAGAGGAGTTAAAGGATTTTTTTTTCCATTTATATATTTTAACTGTACTCAGATGCACTGAAAAAGCAGTAGATGAAATAACTTGATAGTGTTGTGCACACTGCTGATAATAGTTGTGTAACAATCTAAAAAGAGGGCTTGAAATTCAAATCCTAGATACTGTCACCTTAGAGAGTTGAATGTCATATCGCCTAAAAGCTACCGCCACCGCTTTAATCCAGTGACAAGCAGTCCCGACTCACTCCGCTGACCCGATACTCGTTTCTCCTGTTCACGCTGGCCATGAACACGGGTATAATGTGCTTCATATAAAAGTAATGGGTTTCAAAAACCCCGGTGTGACCAACTTTTTTGTGAAAGTGCATGCAGTGAGCCAAAATAAAGCTTCAGCACTTTGAGAACGTAACAGTTTATTTAAAAATTTGGGAAAAAGAATGTTCATAACTGGACGATTTCTGTCACTTTATTTGAAAAGTTTGGGGGCTTTTAAGTGCAGTTTGCCATCAGTTTATTGCATTTACACAAGAAATCAGTGTCTAGTTCTTGAAAGATTTTAAGATCTACCGATTCAAATCTGTGACGGTAGACTAACAACTACATGAGAATTTAAAAAAAAAAAAAAATCATTCTGACATCTCTTTAGGGACTCAAAACAAAATAACAAAACTACAACATAAACTAAGAAATCATTAAATCCCCTTATGTTCCTTTAAAATGCTTAAGTTGTAACTACGTTTGACATAGAACTTAATGTCCTTACAGAAAAAACTAAACCAGAGGCAATGTACCAGTATTTATATCATAAACTTCAGGTAGTGGCTGTTCTCCACTCAGAGAAAAAAAAACGTAGCCAAAACCACACAAACACACACGCACCGACTGCGGTAGGTACTGTTTCAATGAGCCTCAGCATGCTTACATACTGCCCGACATACTGCCTATGGTTTATATCTTTACAGAAATTCCAATTTCTACTGATCAGTGTTTCATATTGTATCTTTATGTCAGAACGCCAAATATATGGAAATATTTAAAAAGGAAGTAAGAGACAGCATAGACCAGGGGTGTCCAAGTCCAGGCCTCAAGGACCGGTGTCCTGCAGGTTTTAGATATCACCCTGGATCAACACACTTGAATCAAATGGTTAGTTCATTACCAGCCCTCTGGAGAACTTCAAGACATGTTGAGGAGGTAATTTAGCCATTTAAATCTGCTGTGTTGGATCAAGGTCACATTTAAAACCTGCAGGACACCAGACCTCGAGGCCTGGAGTTGGACACCGCTGGCATAGACACACGCAGAAGATTTACATATAGACCAGGGGTCCCCAATCCCAGTCCACGAGGGCCGGTGTCCCTGCAGGCTTCAGATGTGTCCTTGATCAATCACAGCTGATTTAAATGGATAGATTACCTTCTTAACATGTCTTGAAGTTTTCCAGAGGCCTGGTAATGAACTAATCATGTGATTCAGGTGTGTTGACCCAGGGTGAGATCTAAAACCTGCAGGGACACCGGCCCTTGTGGACTGGGATTGGGGACCCCTGATTTAGACCATTTTCATTTGTCAGTATTTTTTATATTTAGAAAAAGGTTTTGAATCAAAATAAAATAATTTTTTATTCCCATGACACAATTTACTCTATAGATTTAACTGTTCTCTCTTCAAAATGACAAAGAAAAAAAATCAAGACCGATCATCGTGTGTGTGACACTTAAATTTGCATTTAAAAGAAAATAATCCCCTTATAATCTATAGATATTTTATAGATTCTATACAAATATTATATTTATTTCTTAAAACTTTTGATAAAATCTTCAGAAAATTGGTCTCTAGACTCAGTTCTAGTTTAGCACTGAAGGCTTGAATAAAGTAATTCTTTTACATTTTTTTTTTAATATCCAGAATTTATTCCACACATTTATTAGCCATCACTAATGAGTCTATAAATGTCACTCACCTCATTAGGTTTAATAAGCCTGTACATAAAAAACACACTACATCATCTTGATTAATTAATCCAAGCTTTGAAAACACCTCGCCACAAAAATACAGACGGGCAATTGAAGCATTCAAACACTGAGTCACACAAGAACACAGATGAAGCCCTGAGAAAGTGAAGCTGTAACATTTCAACAATGTGCAGCTGTGAAGTCAAACCTCACAACATTAGTCTGAGTTATCTGAGAAAAAAAAGAAGCTTTTTTGTAGTTTAATCCATTGCCACAGGAGGACAATATTTAAGATCTATAGTTTATGTTCTGATATTTAATGCAAATGTAATTTACTCTACATTTTTCAAGACTTAATATCTTTGCCATTATTAATTTTTATTCCCCTTTGAAAAAGCACCTACTTTTTCAAAACAATTTTTCTTCTTATTTTACTAATACACACAACCCTGCCAATGTTCGCACATACAGACACACACACTTATAATTTAAAACTACGTTATCAGGAATAGAGATGGCACGATACCACTTTTTTATGTCCGATACCGATACCGATATCATAAATTTGGATATCTGCCGATACCGATATGAATCCGATATAGTGTTTTTTAATCAACAAAACTGTTTTTTTAAATATCTTGCTGCATTTTGTATAAGTTCATACTCAAGTTTAAAACAACAACTACACTAAAGCTATTCTGTTATACCTGTATACAAAAAAAATATTTCATAGTTCAGCAATACTGATCAATCTAATAAACTTAAACCTACACCATCCTCCCTATTCTGGTATTTTAAAGAGTACTTAGCGTAAATATTAAGCAACCTAACTAATAGGGTTCCAACTCCCAGCAACAACAAAAATAAAAAAATTAAAAAAAATAGGGAACCACCCCTCATGCTCCACCTCATGATGCTTAATCGACGTAATCAACCTTAATTTGATGCAGTGTGAAAAAAAATGCACAGAAATCAATTATTTTTCAAGAAATATTAAATAGATTCAACATCTTTCTTCAACAAAATTGCAGACTGCACAGATGGTACCTTCCCAAAGGAAAAAGTACTATAGCTTACTAGGGTATATATATTAGACTTAATAGTTACTATATACAGTAATTGACTTCTATTCATTTTGCATCAAATTAAAACTTTGGGTGTCAGATAATTATTTATTAAAAGCTTAACATTTTAAATGAGAATAAGAAAGAAAAGTATGTCTTTGTGCCCCCTTTTCCCTGTTCATGCCCTATCGGCCCCCCTGGCTAAACTTTGCTAGATCCGCCCCTGCACAGTTACCAGCCGTCAGCTGCGTACAAAAAGATCCTCGAGTAGAAAGTAATATTAAATAAATTCTAACAACAGCTTATCAAGCTTAAACGTGCTGCTGTTGTTCAGCCGCTGGTTTCCTCTTTCTGGTGCAAAGTGGGCCAAAAGCAAACTAGAGAGACGGACTCGCGACAGAAAAGCCGATCAGCTGATCATTAAGCAGTTTCATGATTGAAGTAGCAGCAAGAAGAGGCAGTCGCCTGTTAAGCTTAACGCAGGAATGCTTTACAAACATTCAGAGATGGACTTACACACTTGCTTTACTTCTCTCGGGGATAACTTTGTCGGAGATGAAATGCCGGGTTGCTAGCGAAGCTCCAAATGCTATCCAGACCACCGACAGGTCCCGCATGCCACAGCCGCTCTATCACGTGATGCATACTGCTCCGACGTGCTAACGTTCTGAGGTGAGTTACGGCATGTTGCAAGTTTTGTGAGGTGCTTTCGTGATATTTAATGGATCGGATTACTTTTTTTTTTTCTCCGATATCCGATCCAGTAATTTAGGCCAGTATCGGACCGATACCGATACGTAATATCGGATCGGTCCATCTCTAATCAGGAATGAAAAAGACGATCACTCCACACTATATCAGGTACACCTTGTCAGTACTGGGTTGGACCCTCTTTTGCCTTCACAGGCATCTTACTGTAATTCTTGGTGGTGCAGATTAAACTAGGTGCTGTTTACACCAAATCCTAACCCTACAACCCAAATTTAACATCAGAAATCAATACTCGTCACACCAGGTGATGTTTTCTCTGATATTCTACGGTCCAATTTTGCTGAGGCCATGCAACTTGTATATTCAGGTTCCTGTTATTCGGTAACAGGATTGGCAGATGATGTTCTTCTGCTTCACTGATTGTAAAGAGTTGTTATTGAAGTTCCTGCCGTCTTCTATTAGACCAACAAGGCATTTACGCCCAGAGAACTGCTACCGATGGGATTATTTCATTTATAAACCATTCTCTGTAAACCTTACAGGTGGTTGTGCAGGAAAATCAGCGTAAATTAGAAGTATTGGAAATACTCAGACCCGACCATCTGGAACTAACAATCATGCCACCGTTTGATGCCCAGTTTAAACTTCAGCAGGTTGTCTCGAGAATGTCTTCATCCATGTCTTGGGTTGCCATGATTAGCTGATAGATATCTAATACCTAAAAACAAACAAACAAACAAACAAACAAAACTAGCTAATGGGTAAAGTTTCATAAAAGAAAAAAAAAAACAAGCCCTGCAGTTTATACTACAGATGTGATATAATGACGAGTAAAAGAACCATTGACTAATACTTATTATTTATAATTACATATTTGGTACTCTCTTGAGTCTTATAATTCCTGCTAAAAATATTTTGATGGGAAGACATTTTATTCTGCCTTTACAGCTGATAATATTAATTTTTCAGACAATGCTCGTCATTTGAGGGTCACTGGTTTTGGTCTTTTCATGGTTATATGACAGACAGATCATAAATGTACATACATGTGTATTTTATTGAAGCATCATAAATTACACATGATGACTCTCACACAGTGGGTTTAGAGGTGCTTTGAGAACTCGTGTTTACAGCCTGAGGAACACCTGTCCAATCTGGGGCTTGACATTACGAGCTGGTAAATAAAGCTGAATTCATTAACAAACACTGACTGCATTCATGTGAGATATATTCATTTTCCACTGCAGCACCGGGAATGACTTAATTCACATCTTCTGGCATAAGAACTTTATGAAAATGAAATGACGTTATTCACGTAGTTCAAGTTTGACTAATGACTAATTTTTTGTGTTTATGTTGATTTAATATTTATTAGTTGGCAGCAGGCTGGATCACTATAATAAACTAATTCACTTATGAAGGAAGCGTATCCCAGAGTGAGAACTTCTGAATGAATTACTAATCCTTAGGCTGATGACAGCAGGGAATAACGGAGAGAGCTGCTCAGGGATGGGGACTTGGCACCAAACAGCAGGTCATAATGGGGCAGATGTATTCAGGTCATGAATTATTGAGCTTCATGAAGTGACTCATGACAGAAGTGATGCAGGATGACGCATCGCTGGGGCTCAAAGGCCACTGTTGTGATGGTAAATGTAGAAAGGACCGTGTTTTCACACCAGCGTGGTTGTAGATCTGTCTTTATCTTAGTGGTCTGGGTTAAATTTATGGCTCAAATATATGAGCCTCTTTTTTTAATTATTTATTGACATTTAAAGTTTTATCTGCTGAAACTAGCGAGCTATAGAAGCAAACCCATTGGGTGTTTTTTGTTTGTGCAATGAACAAAACAAAGGAAAGATTCTGCATCCATCCACTTCCTGCTGCTTATCTGGGTCTGGGCTGTGGGGCAAGCAGTCAAGGCAATCAAGGCAGCCCCCCCCCCCCTCCCCCCTCCAGAACCTCCCTGTCTCAAGGCCCCCACAGAGGGACACCAAGTCACTTTCCACTGTGAAATAATCAGGTAATCAACCTTTTAATTCTATAAATGAAAAAGGGAAAATCAGATTAAGTTACACATAATGTGACAGGAAAATATATATATATAACAATAGATGCATACAGGGGGGCGATCGTGGCTCAAGAGTTGGGAGTTCGCCTTGTAATCGGAAGGTTGCAGGTTCGAGCCCCGGCTTGGACAGTCTCGGTCGTTGTGTCCTTGGGCAAGACACTTCACCCGTTGCCTACTGGTGGTGGTCAGAGGGCCCGGTGGCGCCAGTGTCCGGCAGCCTCGCCTCTGTCAGTGCGCCCCAGGGTGGCTGTGGCTACAATGTAGCTTGCCATCACCTGTGTGTGAATGGGTGGATGACTGGATATGTAAAGCGCTTTGGGGTCCTTAGGGACTAGTAAAGCGCTATATAAATACAGGCCATTTACCATTTACAGGCCATTTACACATTTTACTGTGGTTTTCTTCTACTCTTGTGCTGCATTTCTGAAACTGCATAGGTAATAATCCTGGGGACTTGTAGTATTCAAAAACTGCACACAATGGCCACAAATATGAAAAACCATCTTTTTGTCTTTAGGAACATACTTTCCATAAGAGACAATCATTTAGCTGCTGATCTAAGGACAATGCATAATGTCTATGCTAGGCAATAAATTAAATGCATCTGTCAGAAAAGGCTCAGGGTGATCAGCGGTTTTCGTATGCTTAGACACATCCTCCATTCATACATTCATTCATTCCTCCTCTGGCATTCATGAGTCAGGGAAACCTGTTGTGACGAGAGGAAAAGGTTTAAATCATTTCCCTGTCTAACAGATGGTTCATCAGTCTGGCAGAAATCAGTAGAAGACTGTGAGCTCATTAATGCCTTTCAAACCCAGTTAAAGCTCCAAGTGGCCCTGGCCCATGCGATGCTGGAAAGGATGAGATACTGTATGTTTTGACTGACTGTTCTAAGATTTGGCATGTGCTGGATAAATCTCTCCAAGTGAAGGGAATAAACAAACAAACAAAAAACGTTCATTCTCACAAAAAAACACATACACTGTAGCAGCCAGCTTAACTAGACATTAACCAACAGGGATGCACGTGCAGACTGGATCGGACACAAAACAGCCTTTAACCTCTCGGTTTTCTAGTACTGTATTTTTCGGACCATAAGGCGCACGGTCGATGAATGAGTCTTTTTTTCATACATACGGCGCACTGGATTATAAGGCGCATTAAGCAAAAAAAAAAAAAAAAAAAAAAAAAAGTCAGATAAGTCAAACTTTACTCAACTCGTTCCATTGATTCATTAATGTTGAATTCTCTCGCAGCTACTCTATTCCCATGTTGTCACAGTATATTAATGACTAACCTTATATTTTACAGCACCCTGCCATGCGATTGCATTTGTCCCTAACCATCAGGAACCCTCACGTTAACTTTTGAGTGGAAAAAAGTTAGCGTTCATCCTCCAGCTTCACTGTGTTTATGTTATGCTAACATAGCAGTGTCGCTAGCGATCACGTAGCACATCATTATATACCATGCTAGTCCAACTTCAGTAACCCTACAAAAGTCACTGCTGTTTAGTTTTCTTCTTCTTTATTTATGTTAGAAGTGATAGCCGAGCTGTATGTTTTAATTTATTTAGAAATCCCATACAGAACATGGTATATCATCCTTAGGTAGAAACTAGCAAGCTAACTTCCTGCTAACTTCTAACTCTGTTAAATTTCATAAATTCTGTTTTCATGGATGCCCGGATGTTAAACTTAATTGTTACACCTGGTAAAGCAGCAACACTGATCATTTTATTAAAGATAAAAGAATTTAGACCGTTTCTAACTCTCAGTGATGTCGCAGTGTTTATTGTGTACCACATAAAGTTGGTTCAAGGTCAGTAAGCAAACAGAATTCATACATAAAGTGCATAAGGCTCACTGTCAATTTTTGAGAAAATTAAAGGATTTTAAGTGCGCCTTATAGCCCGAAAAATACGCTGCCTGTACGTCCATTAGTTCTTAGGTGAGAATAAAGCAGCTATCATTTGGGTTTGTTCACAGTTGTGATCCTCTTGTGTCCTGCATCATGTTCCCTTCCTTGATCAACAGGTCCCAACATTCTCGTTATATACCAGGGGAATCAGGAGAAAACAGCCTTCTGGTACGATGGCTGTGCATGCCAGTACTTTATCACAGCCACACATTTAGGGGGACCCATTATGCTTTTCTTCATTTCCTTAGGTAATATATATATGTCTATGTTATAATAGCGGATGCTCATTAAGTTTCACATAATGACATTAGTGTATGTACAATCCTCATTAATTGCAGATGGCTACAAACGCTTGGCTTTAGTTTCCATCTGCACCTGATTCTGTATGAGCTAGAGCAGATATCCCTTATATGGCTGTCTCAGACACACAAGCCCCACCCAATTGCTGTTCAAAATATCTTTTTATTTGGGGCATCAAATCAGAAGAAAGTTAGCTTAAAGGAAGGGAAGGGGAAGAGAACTAAAAGACTTGTTTCAGATAAAGGATGACAAAGAATGGTTATTTTGACCTGGGAATCATGTCAAGTGGGTCTACTAGAAAACATGAAGTTAGAAATAAGTATAACAGGTCCCTTTCAAAGAATTAATGGACACAAAGTGCTGGTTTTATGTTTTGATGCTTAAAACCCCTTCCATTTGACAAGGTACTACTAAGAATATTACTGTTATTGCTAAATTAAATAGTTGCCGCATTGCTCTAATAAACTACTGTTGTATAAATTCCTTAACGGGGAAAACTCTTCCAAGAGATTTCTGTTTTGCAGTTTGAGAAGTAGTTTGTGTCTTCTCTCAGTAACTTCAGATTTATTTATTTATTTATTTTAAACAGTCCGTTCTGACTCGGTTATCCATTTATTCTGTCATTTAACTGTTGACTAAAGCAAACTCACCATGCACTTGTTGGGTTTTTCTCCAGAATGGACCCTCATGTGGATAAGCAGCTTGTAGCGAGCATTGAACGGTTTGTTGCGTCGCACGCAGCCAGTCCAGAAACATGCAAACTCCTCCCCCTTTCTCTGGTCGATGTGCACTTTCTCGATGTGCCTCACTAGCTCCTCCTGGGTGCTATAAGTGGCACTGCAGTCGATCCAATGACACGGTTGCTCCTGCTGGTCAAGCGTGGGGTCCTGTCCCACAGGTACGTTAATCATGGGGGACTGAAGAGAGGACTGTGTGCTGTCCTGATTGCTGTATCCTTGAAAAGCCTGATTTAAATGGTACAGCTCCCCCTGCTGGTTGCTAATTTGAAACTGTTCCCTCTTACATGGCAAGAAATCATCTGCAGGTTCTTGTTTTACGGAGCAATATTCCTCCTGTGGCTTTTGTTGTTGTTGAGACAATTTATTGTTGGCATCAGAAAGAGGCAAGCAAGATGCAAAAAGTAGAGATGAGGAGGCAGAAGACAGTGAGGAAGGTGGCGAGGCGAAAGATGAAGATGTGGCACAGCTGGTGAGCATGTAGGAAATTGGGAAGGAAGGCTGAGGGTAGCAGCTAAACCTCTGAGTGCTGTTTTGGGTGTCTGTGTGAGCTGTGGTTGCAAAGTCCTCCACAGTCTTTTCTACGTGGGATCCGGCTGTCTTACAGTTGAGCAGGGAGGTGAGGTCACGCCCAAGCGAGGAGAGCGACAGTGAGGTCCTGGGAAGACAGCACAGGCCTCCCGATTGGATCGATGGCTGGCAGAAGCCACCAGAAGACAGCGGCGCCTGAAGATCCTCAGCATCCTCAAACACACTCCCAAATCCAGGAAGAGTCACATCTGGAGGCCCGAGATCAGGGGGCCACATGCCAGCCCCCACTCACAGACTCCTACCAAGAGATCCTGTCAGTAAAATCGTTGAAGTCGATTATCTTGGAGCAATTTTAAGACCCCATTGTAGATAAAACCCTCTGCAGCATCTTTTCGCATTCAAAGGTAATCAAATTAGATTCATGTGCAACTTCTGGCACCTTCTGAATGTGTAGACTTCAGTCATTTGTTCCAAAGTGTTGCGTGGTCAGTCATCACTCCAGCACTGTGGGAGACAAAAACCAAACCCAAATGAGTCATCATAAAAAATACATAAATTTAAAAAAGTGCTTGAATCTTTTATGATCGAAAAAACAGTTTAAAACCTGAAGAATTGCATTCAAGTATATGTACCCTAGTTTTCTTGCCTAACTACGACACAAGTCTTGAAAATAAACAAGGTCAGTTAGCTGCAAAAGCTACTGCTGAAGCTAGAGTTAAAGCTGACCTACAGTATGATGCTCTTTGCAGCTCCATAATTTTAATATTGGAATCTAGCAGAACAGCTTTGCATAGGCCACATTTCAATAATAATCCTTATTTATCTTATCCTGGGCCTTGGTGCAGCCCCTTTGTTCATCTAGTGTCTGAAACAAGTTGTTCTAGCCTATCTGCCCTTAACTTTTCTGTCTTCTGACTGGCTGTCTTTTGCAGACAGAGCGCTAAAACAACAGGTGGGTGGGGATTTACTGCTCAAGGGCAACGCTGACATAAAAAGGGCCTACTATACAGAAATCTATAGTCAAAAGGGCTGTGAACCAGACAGATAAATGTTGTAGAGCAAAAAATAAAATATAATAGCCTGAAATTTAAAAAGATTAGCGTACGATGCAGCATGAAATGGAAAAGCTGCAAAAAGTCACTGCGCTGGAACGAGACACGTGTGATGATCTGTGCATTTGAAAAGAGATATTCCATCTCTTACACTCAAGCCTCACCACATCTACCATGGAATTCACCCATCAACCACTGGTTCATCACTCGGCCATTGCCTCAGCAGAGTTTCCTTCACAAACAAATTTCCAAAGATGCTTCTCTCATGAGAAGCATTACTCTAAACTTAAGGACTCACAAAACTAAGAAAATCTTGATCAAACTGGGGATTATTTTCACCAAAACTGTCTGTAACACTCTGGAGGTCCTTGGATTTTATGGTGTTTAGTGTCCTGGCTGTTGGGTTTAATGATTTGTTTTTTTACTTTCATTTTAAAAGAAAAACCTGTTTCATTTCTGACCACTACACAACATGCAGAAGACTGTTTAAAAAAAAAAAAAAGAGGACTGGAACGCTCATATTGTCTAATGAATGTTTCTTATAAAAATTCAATACTTGTATCACCTTGAACTGACAATTCATTAAACATTCATGTGTTGTGTTGATAAAGGATGATGTACCACTCATGCTGCTAAAGAGGACTTGTGAGCTTGTTTCAGTCTGAAACACTAATCAACACAAGAAGTTTTTTTACTTATAGTAATTTATATTGAGCAGCACGGCTCTAGCCTAGGACCTCTCAATCGTTATGCAAACATGGGTGGAAAGGAAAAGGTGGTGAGAGCAGTGACAAGACCCAACAGGCATCAATAAGAGCAGATTTACTTTGATCAAGTCAGATACACCATGAAAAGGAGGAACTGGGGTGGAGGCTGTCTAAAAAGAGGCAGATCTGCACCTAGTATGGGACAGACTAAAGCACAATAAACAGTGTGCCCTTGAAAAGATTTACCAATTGGTTATGTAGAAGGGTATCAGCTGAGCCATCAGCTAATGTGGGCTGGTAATGAGATGAGCTACTGAGCCCGGAGTGCAGCCGAGCTCGACTTTGAGACCTGCCTGAACTAACGCTGCGCTGTTTGGAGATCAAACAGAAGTTGACTCAAGTAGATTTACCCCAACTCCCTAAAAGGCCTTAAACACAATCTATAAACAGATTTTGATTTGTAAAAATGATGGACTTGCCCTTTTAAAGACAGCACTTAGCACATTTTACCATGTCGGCTGAACTGAGTCAGGATTGATTGTAACTCAGCTGGTGTGACAACTTGCCACGCTGTTCAACAGTATGAAGCATGAAACCCAGACTGTCTCATTCTCTCAATGTTATTCCCTCATTTCCATTTTGTGTCCAATCATTAACAACAAATAGACCACAGTGACCAGAAGGAAAGGTTTTGGATGGAGTAAAAACCAAAACAAACACAGTCCAGCGCTCCTTGTCAGCAGACTTCAGTCAAATATCTTAGAGTGTAATTCTGCAACGAGTGTGTGTTTGCTGCTGCGACACTCAGAGCTGATTCATTACTCCAGGCATTTAGGCCACCCTTGCAGCAAACAGCCAGTTGCTGTGTGGCAGCCGATTGCCTGGAACCTGGTCCAGATGCTTGTTAACAGAGGAAGAGTAATGGACCGCATCTCACCGCTTGCTACTGATGCAATACAGGGAGGCTGGAAAATGGTGGGCCAAACACAAGCACCCCCACCCCTGTCACATATACAGTAGCTCTACTGTGCAGAAGTCCTTGACTGTTTATTGGACTTGACTTGATTTCCACAGTTCTCTACCATCTGCCAGATATCGATGATCTAATTTTCAGTAGGATCGCTGCCATGTGTAATTAGTCATTGGAAAGATTCAAAAGGATTTTATGCTGATGGTTATTTTACGAGCCACAGGCCAACACAGCTAAGAGGATGAGTAAGTTCAGTTCTGTAGTTATATTAGCTGACGAAGGAGTCGCTAAGTGTAGGTTAATGCCCATAGTTTCCTGTTATAGTCTGGTTTACAGTTTTACGATTCTTCCTGTAAATCGCTGGAGTTCCCCCACCATAGTCATGTCATGGGAACTGTGGTTGACTTTTAATTAGAGAGGCTGCGATGTGTCTGTGTGTCGATGAGTTGCAAGGGATTAACGATAGCAGATGTGGTTTGGCATGTTTGAAATGGGATAATTCCAAACTAGATTCTTTTAGCTGTAAGAGCTTATGAATATGAAGATTTGATGTTCACATTTGTAATCTAACTGCTCCTCTTTAGCGTCAAACCGGGACTTGTGTAAAAATCCTCTATGCCATAAATACAGCTGTAAATATAGCACACAGAGGACATTTTTAGCATTGTCTGTTCGCAAACCACTTTGGTCTTGATCCAGAAAGAAGAGTTAGACGGCAATACTAAGAAAAGTGACCCACAAAGCCTCAACTGAACCAGCAAACTCTATGAAATAGCAGCCTCATCTCATGTGGCGTCTTTTAAGGACTCACTCGCTGTGGTTAGCTAAACACAGCTGTGGCATTTCAGGACAAGCAAATGTGTACTTGTCTCAACAATAAGCACTTTGGGTCTTGAATTACAAACTTTTTCAGTGCCTCTTGGTTCAACTCAAACGTGGGAAAGATATCCTTATTAAACTGAGAAATGCGAACACATACAACAGAATTAGGTTTCCCAAATCTTCATAAATAATCCAGAGCTGTGGCAATTAGAGTTCACTGACTTGTGCTAAGACTGAGCACACATTACTAAGTAAATAATATTTATTTCTTGTTTTCCACTCTTATCACCATCTTGCCCAAGGACACTTCGACGTGCAGACTGGAGGAGCCAGGAAATCGAGCCTCTGACCCTCTAATTAGCAGATGACCAAAAAAAAAAAAAAAAAAAAAAAACTAAAACAAAATATAAACAAACAAAAAAAACGTGTGCAGATTAAAGATATCATACCACACCAAAAGATGATATTTCCCAGTAAAAACCACATCTGTAAACAACAAAAACCTGACTGGTGGGTCTTAAACCCACAAACTTTGAATCACATCTCAAGTGTTTGACTAGGAATCTAACGTGCTATTGTTTGCACCAAAAAGCCTGTTACAGATCAACTTTATTTACACATAAGAGTAAAGTTTAGTACACACAAATACGCAGGATCTCATTGTTTTGCACTGTCAAAACATGCTGTCAAAACAGCACACAGTTTGAGTTATCACTTCATCAGGTGCATGTGAACTCAGCATTTTGTCAGATTCTTATGAGTAAGACTTAATATGTTTGTCTCTGGGAGCTTTTGACAGAGGAAAAAGGTTCTCCAAGCACATAACGGTCAGACTACCCTCTCCCACCCAGCCCTTAAAGCTGAAGTAATCAATATGTGTTATGCAAGCGTTTAAGAACAAAGATGAGCGTGTCAAAGTGTTTCGGTTTCTTTCAGCTCATTGTTTTGGATGAATGTAAACTTGATGCTCTCATCAATCATGTTTCCAGACACAGCAGGAAGCCGTTTTAGTCAAAGAGCTCTGATAAAACCTCTGTGCACAACTTACTGAGCACCAGACCAAGACAGACGGCATTAGTGACCAGCTGTTGAACATGGCAGAGGAATTAGTCACTCCCTATGGAATTTCTTTTGTGATTACTGTGGCTAAAAAATGCTTTGCAGCAGCTTTTCTCAAAAATTCCAGATTCATGTGGGAAAGATTTATGTCCTTTTACTGCATTAAAATTGTAATTATTGCAAACTGTAGTTATATACACATTGCAATTATAGCAACATTACAAGCATAATGTTCATAAGTGTAACTTTTTTAAAGAAAAACTGCATCAACTTAAAATGAAAAGAATGTATCTGTTTTTACAGTACACACATGTCATGTTAACAACACTTTGTTTGCAACATTTTCCCAAGCTCTTTAACGGCAATTCTTTTTCTGCATGCCTTAACTATGCACAAAAGGTATGAAATTACAGGATAAATCATGGCCCAAATGTTGTTGTTTTAAAAGCTTTGTGGGTGACTTCACTAATACAAATGTTAAAAAAAATAAAATTGAAAGTTCTTGAGTAATTTTGGTTAATCTCAGAAATAACATAAATTCCAAGATGGACTAAATGGCAAATAAAGAATGGCCTATTTGGTGTTGGTGGAGACCAAAATCAGTGATTAAATGAGGCAACAAGGAAGTTTTTTCCTAACACAACATGTTAGTGATAAATTTAAAACATGGTTTGGTGCCTTCAGGCTAAAACAACAGCAGCAATCAGGAGGATTAGCTAAGACAAGCTTTTGATATGTTTTGGTGCAGCAGTCCCCAACCCCGGACCACCGACAGGTACTGGTCCGTGAGCCGCTTGATACCAGGCCGTGAGAGTTGAGGCTCGGGTTATGGTTTTCGGGGATTTTATCGTTAACTCTGTTTCCCTGGGTCTTTTCCCGTGTTGTAGTTGCGCG